AATATGGTTCATGGGGTCACAAAGAGTCGGACACGACTTAACGACTAAACAACAACAATATGTATCTACTTTTGCCCAGCTTGTATAGTAAAAGCGAATTCTAAGTCATTGTACAGTCTTCCCATAATACACAATCACTGCATGCTTAGTATTTAATTACTGGAGACCAGTGTCACAATCAGATTCAGTCCTGAATTGTTTGATTTCCATTACACACCACAACTGGAATAAATCAGCTGAGCACACAAATCGTTATTATGTTGGCAAGACAAAAAATGACTGAAACAGACACCCTGTGGATTTCTAGGAATGGATACATGCAACAATTGACCCATACCCTGAAGTCTGCTCTCTTGATTTGAGGAATCCTTGCCAATTATTTCTATGACTTCTATGAACAGTATTCAGAAAATCAGGGCTTCAAACAGGATTCTTTTTTAGCCTGTCTAGTCATGTGAACCATGCATCAATTACAGTGTATATTTTTAGTATGATATATATCAGGGTTCCTCAACCTTGGCAACTTGAAGATGTGTGGACTTCAACTTCCAGAATTCCCCAGCCAGCCATACTGGCTGGGGAATTCTGAGAGTTGACGTCCACATAACTTCAAGTCGCCAAGGTTGAGGAACCCTGATATATAGTACTAATACTAAGAAGCATCCATAGTGAGGGGCAGGTGGGCAATTAACGAATATGTGTCAGGTTGCAAACTCCACCCTTATATATTTGCATGCAACATCACAACACAAGTAGGAAAGAGCAGCGCTTGCATCATAATGTCCCAACACATGTATCATCATTCTGGAGTTATGGTTAGGAACAGACCCCTAGGTGAACAATGTATACTGCTGAAGAAATGTTGGGAATTGTTTCTAGAGAGAGCCACATGGGGGAAGGCAGAAGCAGAAGATGAATTTGTCGCTGGCTATCTTAGTCTCTTGGAAGTGAAGTTGGTATTTGCATGCTTGTCCTCTTCATCTGCCTAGCAAGCCTAGCTTCTGTCTCTTAGCACGTGGCCTCCCCTTTGGGGTGCCTGAGAATGTGGAAGAAGCCTTATATTTCAGAAAAAGATAAATTTACCTTCTCTGGGCTAACTATATTTCATCACAGACTAAAATGTACACTCCAAAATACATAATGTTTTGGTGATTGCCAACATTAGCTCCTCCTCTTGACTGACAGTGCTTTTTAATATTACAAGATTATAAAGGGTTCTTATACCCACCCACTATGTTTTGATTTGATTTATTTAAAACATTTATATAGCCTCCCATCTTGTACCAAACTCTGGGCAGCTCATGACATCTAGGTACAATAAAAATAGTAAAACCAAAGATATTAAAACCAAAAATATTAAAACCAAACAACCTGACTCAACTTAGCTCACCCTATTCTAGTGCTTGGAGGAAAAGCCAGGTCTTGAGTGCTTGTCAGAAGGTTAAAATGGTGGGGGTCTGCCCAATGTCAAGGGGAAGGGTGTTCCACAGGGCAGGGGCTGCCACAGAAAAGGCATGCTTCCTAGGTCCCATAAGATGGCAACATTTAAGAGAAGGTACTAGGAGCATGCCCTCCCTATCCGATCTGTTGAGTGACATGTACAAGGGGAGGGATCAAGATGAAGCACGTGCCTGTAGTGGTTAATTTCTTTGATATATGCAGTAGGGAGAGGGAAAGTTGTAGCAAAATCTTTTGCCACTAATTTGACAGCCTGTCAGAATTCAGACTGAAGGTTAAACTCTTTTTTAGTCAGCTGACTCCACCTGACTTCTGCTTCTTGATGGATTTATGTAATCTCATAGCCTTTTTGAGGTTCTTCTGTTGCTAACTATGACACCCCACCCCACCCATTTGCAGAGACCTTCAATTCTTCTAGCTGCTGTCTGCTCCTCCATTTCTATTTGTGGATTTCATGAAACTCTTATCAGAGACACTGCTAACTAAAATTCCCATACCTGTACCTTATTTCCTAGCAGCTAAAGTAACCAGAGATCCTTGTAATAAGTGTGTTGGAGCTACAACTTTCCCCAATTCAATAAATAAATATTACAGGGTAGTGCTTGTCTTCACCTCTGTGATACCTATAACAGAAACAATATTTTCAACAAGCACAGAGTTTTCCTTTTCTTACTCTCATTTTTTTTTCACTTACACTTCCCTTCTTTGTTTTCCTAAAAAGATTAGGGAGGGGTTATGATACTACTCAGCCTTCCTTTCAGTCTGCTTGCCTCTCACTATAAGTTAACGTATACATGTCCAGACAGCTAATTCTCAGCATGCAGCAAGAAAATGAAAACGCATACATTGTGGCCTTTCCTCAGGGGAAGCTATGAGACCAATGAACTTGTCACTGCACCTTAGCTAGGACAATGGCATGCAAACATTGTCCTACATTAGAGGGCACCTATGTTATATCCATTTGAAAGGGACAATAGGTATTTACCTTGAAAACAAGTCAAAATATTATATTTAAAATATAGTAATTTTTTCAACTATATTGCCATATTTAATTATGCTAATTTGCCAACAGCATATCTAAATTATGAGTCATCCTATTATGGAAAATTAGACATTCTGCAGAGATGCTGCAGCACTCAGAAACTCTTCTCAAGGATTTCAGCATCCAATAGAGAAGGCAGAGATTGGGCAATGACATGTGATCTTACGCAGTGTTGTGAACGGCCTCCCATTACAAGAAATCTCATGTGATCACCATCATCATTTTTGTCCCCAAAATGAGACAATTGCTGGCTCTGCCAACTTGCGTGGGGTGAGAGGGGATATAACCAACCCTGGAGGTGGCTAGTGCCTTGAAGACATTCCCCGAATCTAAGATTTATTATTTATATAGGAAGTCTTCTTGTAATGCTTATTCTATTTTAACTAATATTTATTCTTTTTATTGTAAACCTCCCAGAGTCACTC